TTCAACACAGCTTTTCCGTGGAAAATGCTTTTTTTCAGTGCTACCCAAAGACGCATTTGCGTAATGGGAATAGTCAACCGGGTTTCACGGGATCATTCTTCCTGAAGCTTCCTTCATCGTCTCGTGATGAGTTCGAGAACAACATCCAAAATAATGGCTTGGTTTGTGGGGGAGATGATGAGGAGGCAGAGATGCTTAACAGATTGTATGTCCAAGGGGGAGAAAATGGATCGGTGAAGTTCATGCTGTGGTTTGCAAGCGCCTTGGGAGGAGTTGAACTGGTGTGCATCTTTCTGGTGTGGTGTTTCTTGTTTAGGAATAATAAGACGTTACCATCAGGTGCTGAGGGACAAGGGTATGTTCTTGCAGCAGCTGCGGGGTTCAGAAGATTCAGTTACTCTGAGCTGAAACAAGCCACCAAAGGTTTCAGTGAAGAGATAGGAAGGGGTGCTGGAGGTACTGTGTATAAGGGTGTCTTGGAAGATAATCAAGTCGTGGCAATAAAGCGTCTGCATGAAGTAGCAAACCAGGGAGAAAGCGAGTTTCTGGCTGAGGTAAGCATCATTGGAAGGCTTAACCACATGAACTTGATATGCATGTTGGGGTATTGTGCAGAGGGAAAGCATAGGTTGTTGGTTTATGAGTACATGGAGAATGGTTCTTTGGCTCAGAACCTTTCATCAGGTTCAAATGTACTTGGCTGGAGCAAAAGGTATAACATTGCTCTGGGAACAGCAAGGGGTCTGGCCTACTTGCATGAAGAATGCTTGGAGTGGATTTTGCATTGTGACATCAAGCCCCAAAATATACTTCTTGACTCTGATTATAAACCAAAAGTAGGAGATTTTGGCTTGTCTAAGCTACTTAACAGGAACAACCTCAACAATTCAAGCTTCTCAAGGATAAGAGGAACAAGAGGTTACATGGCACCTGAATGGGTTTTCAACTTGCCAATCACTTCCAAGGTGGATGTCTACAGCTATGGCATTGTTGTATTGGAGATGATCACTGGAAGGAGCCCAACAACAGGTGTCCAAATCACAGAGTTAGAAGCAGAGTCACCTCATCATGAGAGGTTGGTGACATGGGTGAGGGAGAAAAGGATGAAAGGATCAGAAAATGGATCATCTTGGGTGGATCAAATCGTTGACCCTGCTTTGGGATCAAACTATTACATGAATGAAGTGGAGATATTGGCAACAGTGGCTTTGGAATGTGTGGAGGAAGAGAAAAATGCCAGGCCCAGCATGAGTCGAGTAGCAGAGAAGCTTCAGAGTCATATGCACACGATTGTTGATGTTTTCAACAAAGAATAGCCATGCATCTCTCCTATGACACCAAAATCACCTCCAGTTCTTGTTCTTGATAATAGTAAAGTTAACATTTTTAGTTCAGTTAGGGAGTGTGATCATCTTTGTTTTGATTTGTTTGTTACCGTGTTGTTCTCTTGTTAAATTAGTGTGTAAACCAGTTTGATTTTTTCCCCTCTTCCAAAAGGCAAGGAATAAGATTAGTGACTCTTTCTTTTCTGGTTGTGAAAAAGAAGAAACCTTTTCATGACACTTCAAACCCATTGCACTAAGCTTTGAATGAGATGAAAATGAACCAAAGTGTTTGTGTGAGAGTGGAAGTACCAACAAAACCAGAGCACAACATTCTTACAAACCTTGTCAAACTAAATTAAATTGACTATTTTTTTACATTAATATACATATATTGTTATATGAGAAACAAATATAAAACAATCAAATATAATTTTATTCCATGTAAAACAAAAGGAATGCCACATTATATTTGTATAACTTCTATGTTTTATCCTTCTAAAATTGAAATTTTTTTATCTTATATTTCCAATATTAAAATATGTGTTCTAATAAGTCTTAATTAGTGGTTGTGCTATAATGTTAGCATGTAACACTCCTAATAAATATTAAAATTCATAAAATATACTTAACTTATTTATCTTGCATCCTATTAATCCATTTCCAAATAATAAATCTTTAGTTTGATTCAAAAGTTGCTTTTGACATGAAACCATGTAAAGTAGCTAAACTCCTTAAAGAAAGAGAGTTGAGAGAGAGTATTTGGCATTGGCAATGTTGGAAACAAAGCACACATTTCCATCTTCACACAAGGAAGCCAACATGTCCCATTTTTGCTCCAACAAATCTGATTCATCTTCTCGTTTAGCAAGAAGTTTCAAAAACTCTGCATGGAGCATGAGTTCTCTAATGACTGCATTGCCAGAATCTCCCTCCACCATCTGCAGCAACGCCTCAACCGCATTTCATCCAAACACACACCATGCCACTGAGTTCTCCACTCCAAGACACCACGTTCGTACCATTGCCAACCCTTCAAGAAACTCCTTCTTTGCCTCATCTTCCAATGAATCTTTCTACCAAAATAATCACTTTCTGCATTACCCTTTTCTTGCTGCATTCCTTTTGATTCTTTCTGGCTATTTCTTTTCTGGGTTCTTGAAAATGTTTCCCCTTTTTTCATGCCACTGATATAAAGTTTCTTGATTCACCATCATGCATGTTGTTGAATGGTTTGCTTTATGTCATCGTTGAACGAAATTGTTGGTTTTTTTTTTTGGGATCACAGAGCCATGGCATGGCCTGCAACATTGACAATGACGACAACAACAACAGCAAGCTCTCCACTTGCCTTTCAGATATTGATGAATGGTTGGAACATGCCAATAGGTTCTGCAGATCCTCTAACCATCATACAGGTTTGTCATGTGATCTCATGTCTACCTGGTTCCTTCTTTCTAATGTGTGTTTAGATTCATGTTACATGATTTTGTATTTAGTTGAAATATCTTATTGTAGATCAATATTTATAGAGAAAGAATTGGTTTTTAGATAAATTCCACTGAGTTTGACTGCTAACTTGTTTGTGGAATAAAAACTATAAGGAGATAAATCACATTAAAATCAATTTTTCAAAATCCAACAAGCAAAAAGCTTAAGTAAACACACTAAATGCTATTATTCATGATACCTACTGTAATGTTTTGATCAGAATCTATTGATTCGGGGCAAAATGGAAGCCAAGAAGAAGAAGAATATTCGAGGCTCCCAGCACTGTGCAACAGCTACCCTGTGGCTCCAGAACATCATGAACTGCACAACATAACATTACCCTGCGTTAGAGAAGAGAGTCCTGTTTTCAAAGGCCAGACCTGCCTTACCTGCACTCACAGAACAGCGAAATGTGGAGGCTATGAACGAAAAAGACTGATGGGACCATATGATGAGTTTTTCGATGACGTCAGGAGGAGGAAACAGGAAGCAGAAAGAGATGCTCGTAAGGCCAAGCATGTTGAACTTATGCTCAAGTGAGTGAGAACTATGCAGAAATTTCTCAAACCTGTTACTTTTTGTTGGTGTGATTGTCATTGAGACAGTAAAAAGGCAAGCTCTGAAGATAAATCTGTTTGTAGGATGAGAAGAAAGGAACACGCCATAAATGATTGGGAGTTGCAGCAAACAAGAAAAGCTATGGACAAGATGGACAAAATTCAGGCATGTAAGCTTGTTCCATCTATGTTACATTTAAATATGTAGATTGTGCATAGTTTATAACCTTGGTAGGGTAGAAGAACAAACAAACTGTGCAAGATCAAACTGCTTGTTTTACATTGAATTGTGTACATCAACCCTCAAATGCTCTCAGGGATTAAACAGAACTCTACTAGTTATGTGGTAAAGTAGCAAGATGAGGATCATAGGAAATAAGAACCCATGTTTAACAGCATCTTCTCATGTTTTTCATTAATCTTTTTTCTCCTGTGATTACAGAGTGATCTGGAGAGGAAACAATTTAAGGCCTCACTGAGGACTCAAAATAAAATATGCCTAGTGAGGGAAAAGGCAGAGAAGCAAAAGCTAAACTTGAGAAGATCAACAATGAAAAGATTTCAACACATGCAAACATCTGAGACTCACTCCCCTTCAGAACTTTCTTGGGGTTCTTAAATCCATTCAGCACTACTGCAGTTTGTCTCTTCCAACTAGAGCTCTGCTCCTCATTGATTGTAGAACGGTTGGTTATATATGCAAAAGGTGAAGTTAAAATGAGTGACCAAATTAGGCAACTTTTATGTGTGCAAATTCCTTTGCCAAAAAAGCTTAAGATGCCACACTCATGGCATGCCTAAGTTCCAAACTGTCTCCAGTAACATATTTGAGAAGGGTTGGAGGATGAGGGAGATAGTTTTACAGCTTCTTCACCTTTTTGTAATAGAAAATGTTTCTTCTCCAGTTAACGAATTGCTTCAATCACTTCCTGTGAGGTTCACTTCATTTTAACTTTTCTCTTTGTTCTTCAAATTAATGTTCACCTTTTATTTATGTTTCTTTACAACTTATCCGAAGCACATCTAAAATATTATATAAAAAATAGTTTTTTATAAGAATTCTCACTAATTTTCAACCATATTAACAATTCCACACTTTCAATTTTCTAAAATTACAACTAAATATGTTAAATTTGGATACTTTTTCCACTTCTTACAGTGGCCTTCTAGTTTCATGTATTTATACAAGAGTGTGTAATTATGCTGTTTGCCCTCACTGATCGAGGGTCTTGAATCTATTTAACGTATAGAACTTTTTTTCTACTAAATTTTCTCATAGAATTTTTTATGAAAAATGTTTATGCAGAGAAGTTAAAGGGTCAGATCTTGCGCAATTAGACAGGCATAAATTTTTGCTATTTTTATTAGAAAATTAGATGTGATGAATCACTGATGACGAGCCCATATATCCATTACTGAAAACACTTGTTTGTTTACTCGTACACGGTTCCTTCACTATAATCATTCATTTATATTTTATCTTTAGTTAATAAAAAATATATTCTTTAATTTGTATCAATATGTATATAATTATAACGATAAAGTTTAAAAATATATATTTTTATTAAAAGTTTTAAACTCTTGAAAATTATTATAAGTGTAAATTTTTGTATAGAAGAAACCAGATGCATATTCCAGGAGAAACAATTTTTCACTAATACAAGATATACAATGTAGAAACAGAGTGTTAGATTACAACTGAGGAAATTATCCTAACTAACATGGTTAGGGTTAACTACTCTCTAACCTACACAAACTAGCAAGTATTCAAAGACATTCAGACCCAACCGGACACCATGTTATCATCCACTGGTTTTGGACCTCCACAAGACCTTGAAACAGATTCAAAAAGTTTTTCAATCTCCGGCGCACATCTGATGAAACTCCGGTTCCAGAAGTTATACCTAGGATTCTGCCAAATGACAAGAAAAAATTACAAAGAGATAAGAGAAGTAATTTGATTAATAACCTGCAATATGTACAAAAATACGAAGAAAAAACCTTGATGAGTTCAATAAAGGTAATGAGGAGGCCCCAGGGATGAGGACGGTTAACAATTAGGCGTTCCAACAAGACTCTGGTGATTTGTTCTTGGATAACTTCCTGCTATGTCAAAACATGAATATATAGCTAATTAGTAATTGGAAGTATGTTTGATATAGCTAAAGTTAAAAGGCATAGTACAAGTTTAGGTGTACCTGGTTTGATTCCGCAAACAAGTAAAGAAGGATAAAGGAAAAGTAGTGTGTGTTGGTATTAGGGTAACGCAGTTGGTTGGCAATGGCATTTAGGAAAAGGTAGCGGCCTTCAGTGTCCAAGTCCACAATGAGTGTCTGGAAAATATCCAATGCAGCACCAACAGAAAATACGGCCAAGGGGAAAGCATTTGCTGAAGATTGTGTATGGGGAGTCCGACCCTGAAGCTGATGGATTGCCTGTTATACCAAAAAAACAATATTTAGACCTTTGCATTGTGATCATAAAAATACGATCTAGCATGCTTAGATAGAACAAAAAAACCTCAGCAACTTCCAAACTCCAATTTAAAATGGCAATCTTAAATTTTTCCCATTAAAGTACCTGCATTCCAACATATAGCACAAGTGAGTTGATTAACGGCACATTGTATCGAGTCCCAGCAGAGGCAGCTTCATTGGGTGCGAGAAGCATCTTGTCCTTCAGTTCAGACAAAAATGGAGAACTCTGTTGCCTTGTCTGCCAAAAAAATGATTGAAAGCTTGTGAGTAAAATGTAGCAAAGTAAAAATGGATTGGAGTGAATCAGTTTAGGAAAAAAAAAGTAGAAAATCTTGACCAAAAAGAACTCACATGTTGACGAGCAACAAATGCATCAAACATGATAATTCTACAGAATTATAACATAGCAAACCAACTATTAAAACAGAGCAAATTCAAAGAGGGAAGCGCGGACCTTAAGGTATTCATCTACATCAGCCTTCATCTGCTTTGCTTTAAGTGCAGCATCAACCTCTGAAAGAATGCGGGGTGATTGGGTAATTTCCTNACCGTGTTGTTCTCTTGTTAAATTAGTGTGTAAACCAGTTTGATTTTTTCCCCTCTTCCAAAAGGCAAGGAATAAGATTAGTGACTCTTTCTTTTCTGGTTGTGAAAAAGAAGAAACCTTTTCATGACACTTCAAACCCATTGCACTAAGCTTTGAATGAGATGAAAATGAACCAAAGTGTTTGTGTGAGAGTGGAAGTACCAACAAAACCAGAGCACAACATTCTTACAAACCTTGTCAAACTAAATTAAATTGACTATTTTTTTACATTAATATACATATATTGTTATATGAGAAACAAATATAAAACAATCAAATATAATTTTATTCCATGTAAAACAAAAGGAATGCCACATTATATTTGTATAACTTCTATGTTTTATCCTTCTAAAATTGAAATTTTTTTATCTTATATTTCCAATATTAAAATATGTGTTCTAATAAGTCTTAATTAGTGGTTGTGCTATAATGTTAGCATGTAACACTCCTAATAAATATTAAAATTCATAAAATATACTTAACTTATTTATCTTGCATCCTATTAATCCATTTCCAAATAATAAATCTTTAGTTTGATTCAAAAGTTGCTTTTGACATGAAACCATGTAAAGTAGCTAAACTCCTTAAAGAAAGAGAGTTGAGAGAGAGTATTTGGCATTGGCAATGTTGGAAACAAAGCACACATTTCCATCTTCACACAAGGAAGCCAACATGTCCCATTTTTGCTCCAACAAATCTGATTCATCTTCTCGTTTAGCAAGAAGTTTCAAAAACTCTGCATGGAGCATGAGTTCTCTAATGACTGCATTGCCAGAATCTCCCTCCACCATCTGCAGCAACGCCTCAACCGCATTTCATCCAAACACACACCATGCCACTGAGTTCTCCACTCCAAGACACCACGTTCGTACCATTGCCAACCCTTCAAGAAACTCCTTCTTTGCCTCATCTTCCAATGAATCTTTCTACCAAAATAATCACTTTCTGCATTACCCTTTTCTTGCTGCATTCCTTTTGATTCTTTCTGGCTATTTCTTTTCTGGGTTCTTGAAAATGTTTCCCCTTTTTTCATGCCACTGATATAAAGTTTCTTGATTCACCATCATGCATGTTGTTGAATGGTTTGCTTTATGTCATCGTTGAACGAAATTGTTGGTTTTTTTTTTTGGGATCACAGAGCCATGGCATGGCCTGCAACATTGACAATGACGACAACAACAACAGCAAGCTCTCCACTTGCCTTTCAGATATTGATGAATGGTTGGAACATGCCAATAGGTTCTGCAGATCCTCTAACCATCATACAGGTTTGTCATGTGATCTCATGTCTACCTGGTTCCTTCTTTCTAATGTGTGTTTAGATTCATGTTACATGATTTTGTATTTAGTTGAAATATCTTATTGTAGATCAATATTTATAGAGAAAGAATTGGTTTTTAGATAAATTCCACTGAGTTTGACTGCTAACTTGTTTGTGGAATAAAAACTATAAGGAGATAAATCACATTAAAATCAATTTTTCAAAATCCAACAAGCAAAAAGCTTAAGTAAACACACTAAATGCTATTATTCATGATACCTACTGTAATGTTTTGATCAGAATCTATTGATTCGGGGCAAAATGGAAGCCAAGAAGAAGAAGAATATTCGAGGCTCCCAGCACTGTGCAACAGCTACCCTGTGGCTCCAGAACATCATGAACTGCACAACATAACATTACCCTGCGTTAGAGAAGAGAGTCCTGTTTTCAAAGGCCAGACCTGCCTTACCTGCACTCACAGAACAGCGAAATGTGGAGGCTATGAACGAAAAAGACTGATGGGACCATATGATGAGTTTTTCGATGACGTCAGGAGGAGGAAACAGGAAGCAGAAAGAGATGCTCGTAAGGCCAAGCATGTTGAACTTATGCTCAAGTGAGTGAGAACTATGCAGAAATTTCTCAAACCTGTTACTTTTTGTTGGTGTGATTGTCATTGAGACAGTAAAAAGGCAAGCTCTGAAGATAAATCTGTTTGTAGGATGAGAAGAAAGGAACACGCCATAAATGATTGGGAGTTGCAGCAAACAAGAAAAGCTATGGACAAGATGGACAAAATTCAGGCATGTAAGCTTGTTCCATCTATGTTACATTTAAATATGTAGATTGTGCATAGTTTATAACCTTGGTAGGGTAGAAGAACAAACAAACTGTGCAAGATCAAACTGCTTGTTTTACATTGAATTGTGTACATCAACCCTCAAATGCTCTCAGGGATTAAACAGAACTCTACTAGTTATGTGGTAAAGTAGCAAGATGAGGATCATAGGAAATAAGAACCCATGTTTAACAGCATCTTCTCATGTTTTTCATTAATCTTTTTTCTCCTGTGATTACAGAGTGATCTGGAGAGGAAACAATTTAAGGCCTCACTGAGGACTCAAAAAAAAATATGCCTAGTGAGGGAAAAGGCAGAGAAGCAAAAGCTAAACTTGAGAAGATCAACAATGAAAAGATTTCAACACATGCAAACATCTGAGACTCACTCCCCTTCAGAACTTTCTTGGGGTTCTTAAATCCATTCAGCACTACTGCAGTTTGTCTCTTCCAACTAGAGCTCTGCTCCTCATTGATTGTAGAACGGTTGGTTATATATGCAAAAGGTGAAGTTAAAATGAGTGACCAAATTAGGCAACTTTTATGTGTGCAAATTCCTTTGCCAAAAAAGCTTAAGATGCCACACTCATGGCATGCCTAAGTTCCAAACTGTCTCCAGTAACATATTTGAGAAGGGTTGGAGGATGAGGGAGATAGTTTTACAGCTTCTTCACCTTTTTGTAATAGAAAATGTTTCTTCTCCAGTTAACGAATTGCTTCAATCACTTCCTGTGAGGTTCACTTCATTTTAACTTTTCTCTTTGTTCTTCAAATTAATGTTCACCTTTTATTTATGTTTCTTTACAACTTATCCGAAGCACATCTAAAATATTATATAAAAAATAGTTTTTTATAAGAATTCTCACTAATTTTCAACCATATTAACAATTCCACACTTTCAATTTTCTAAAAATACAACTAAATATGTTAAATTTGGATACTTTTTCCACTTCTTACAGTGGCCTTCTAGTTTCATGTATTTATACAAGAGTGTGTAATTATGCTGTTTGCCCTCACTGATCGAGGGTCTTGAATCTATTTAACGTATAGAACTTTTTTTCTACTAAATTTTCTCATAGAATTTTTTATGAAAAATGTTTATGCAGAGAAGTTAAAGGGTCAGATCTTGCGCAATTAGACAGGCATAAACTTTTGCCATTTTTATTAGAAAATTAGATGTGATGAATCACTGATGACGAGCCCATATATCCATTACTGAAAACACTTGTTTGTTTACTCGTACACGGTTCCTTCACTATAATCATTCATTTATATTTTATCTTTAGTTAATAAAAAATATATTCTTTAATTTGTATCAATATGTATATAATTATAACGATAAAGTTTAAAAAAATATATTTTTATTAAAAGTTTTAAACTCTTGAAAATTATTATAAGTGTAAATTTTTGTATAGAAGAAACCAGATGCATATTCCAGGAGAAACAATTTTTCACTAATACAAGATATACAATGTAGAAACAGAGTGTTAGATTACAACTGAGGAAATTATCCTAACTAACATGGTTAGGGTTAACTACTCTCTAACCTACACAAACTAGCAAGTATTCAAAGACATTCAGACCCAACCGGACACCATGTTATCATCCACTGGTTTTGGACCTCCACAAGACCTTGAAACAGATTCAAAAAGTTTTTCAATCTCCGGCGCACATCTGATGAAACTCCGGTTCCAGAAGTTATACCTAGGATTCTGCCAAATGACAAGAAAAAATTACAAAGAGATAAGAGAAGTAATTTGATTAATAACCTGCAATATGTACAAAAATACGAAGAAAAAACCTTGATGAGTTCAATAAAGGTAATGAGGAGGCCCCAGGGATGAGGACGGTTAACAATTAGGCGTTCCAACAAGACTCTGGTGATTTGTTCTTGGATAACTTCCTGCTATGTCAAAACATGAATATATAGCTAATTAGTAATTGGAAGTATGTTTGATATAGCTAAAGTTAAAAGGCATAGCACAAGTTTAGGTGTACCTGGTTTGATTCCGCAAACAAGTAAAGAAGGATAAAGGAAAAGTAGTGTGTGTTGGTATTAGGGTAACGCAGTTGGTTGGCAATGGCATTTAGGAAAAGGTAGCGGCCTTCAGTGTCCAAGTCCACAATGAGTGTCTGGAAAATATCCAATGCAGCACCAACAGAAAATACGGCCAAGGGGAAAGCATTTGCTGAAGATTGTGTATGGGGAGTCCGACCCTGAAGCTGATGGATTGCCTGTTATACCAAAAAAACAATATTTAGACCTTTGCATTGTGATCATAAAAATACGATCTAGCATGCTTAGATAGAACAAAAAAACCTCAGCAACTTCCAAACTCCAATTTAAAATGGCAATCTTAAATTTTTCCCATTAAAGTACCTGCATTCCAACATATAGCACAAGTGAGTTGATTAACGGCACATTGTATCGAGTCCCAGCAGAGGCAGCTTCATTGGGTGCGAGAAGCATCTTGTCCTTCAGTTCAGACAAAAATGGAGAACTCTGTTGCCTTGTCTGCCAAAAAAATGATTGAAAGCTTGTGAGTAAAATGTAGCAAAGTAAAAATGGATTGGAGTGAATCAGTTTAGGAAAAAAAAAGTAGAAAATCTTGACCAAAAAGAACTCACATGTTGACGAGCAACAAATGCATCAAACATGATAATTCTACAGAATTATAACATAGCAAACCAACTATTAAAACAGAGCAAATTCAAAGAGGGAAGTGCGGACCTTAAGGTATTCATCTACATCAGCCTTCATCTGCTTTGCTTTAAGTGCAGCATCAACCTCTGAAAGAATGCGGGGTGATTGGGTAATTTCCTGAAGTAAATCAATCTGCATAGAAAAGCACAAGCAGTAACATCAACTTAATGCTCCTTAACCTTAACAAAACGTTTGGGGGTGTGTGGGTAACAAGAGATTCTAAGACCTTCAAATTAGGAGTAGATGGATCAGGCAGCCTCATACTCCGTGGAAATGCACTTAGAATGATATTCCTCATCTGAATGCAGCTTGGAGGAATAACATCACAAAAGGTAAAGTGATAGTCACATAGAAACTCGGGGAAGTCATGAAGTAGCACTAAGAGCACCCTTAGTGTCCCTTTGTAGAGGACACGGACCTGATCACAACAAAATTAAAGAAAAAAAAGTGTAGATGTAAGAAGCATTATTGTACATAGACCCAGTTGGAAGCTGTTAGAAATCCTAAGAATTATCGGATAATATATTTTTATAACAAAAGAAATCAGATATTTCTTAGAATTTCCAATGAAAGAAAATAATTCAGTCATAGATAGACACAAACCGGGTCTCCAAGTTCAGCATGCCTCAGAAAAGGCTCCATAAATTGGAACAGGTCTACAAGCAACCTTTGGATATAAGGCCAACCTTTTTGACCATTACCAGTTAACATTTTAGGCATGAAGCTCCTGTGACTTATCAGCTCAAGCCATGCAAAACTGAAGAAACATGCCCATAAAGGAACTAAGTTATAAAAACAAAATCAAACGATGTGTGTGTGAGATAGACTTTGTAGACTTTACAGAATCTATAAATATATATTGATTAAAGAGCTAATGTTGACTTTACAATCAAATGAGTTTAAATAAAGATACTCACTCAAAATGATAAATACAAGCATCAGGACAATTAACATACATAATCATTCTAAAAAAACTATTACATTTTGTATTTCACTCATCAAAGGTACAAAACATTTGTCCAAAGTCTAGAAGAATGATACAGGAAGAACGTGGAAAAATTCAAACCAGTATAGAGGACATATTACAATATGGTAAATTCATTACAGGTGGATATTTGTCTTGCCCAAAAACAGACATGCAAGACACACATTTTACATAGATAGAGATCTACACATTATATTTAGATAGAGATCCACCTTCCAATAGTAAAATCGGTAAAATTAGTCATACCATAAACAATAATGAGGAGCATGTCAAAGAATGTCTGCTCAGATTGGAGTTAAAATGTATTCTTGGGTCATATGTGCCTCAATTTTGAAATTGCATTAAGTGACTGATATATAATCAACCCAAATTCTAACATAATTCACAAGCAAAGTTAATGTGTTTTAAATTTCTGATGTATTCAGAGCCCGTTCAACATTTTACTTAACATATAGCCCGAAAGTCAAATATACAACCTCTTTACTTCCACCGCAAAAGAGTCAAATATCTGACAAAGTAAACTAGAAGTACATGATCCCTAATCAACAATGTTTAAATCTCTCGAAAAAAAAAGTGATTTGGAATTCTTAAATGAATTCAGCAACATCAACAATTCCATAAGAGCGGAACACAAACAGTTAAAAAGTGTGCATTACAATAAAATAGCATCCCATTACAACATTATCCTTAAACCAAAATACAGCAAACTATGAATCACAAGTGGGCATTACTAACCTGAACGCAGGAACTTTGAGGGGCTGCAATGCATGAAATGCATTGGCAAAAGCAGTCAAAATCTGCAATTCATGAAGTGGTATTAGTCAAACACGCATGCATGTTCTAAGCTTATTGGTTGATGGAAAGAGGGTTGAAATGCATTGGCAAAAGCAATAAAAATCAACACAAACAAAACCAGTTTAATTGACGGGTGATTACAGCAAATAATAAAACCATCTGCTAATAAAATTCTGACAGTTTCAAATTTACACATATATCAACAATGTCAACGGTTATTAAAATTTTGAACCCACGCTTGTACCCAAAAAATAAACAAATAAATAAATTGTTAAAATAAATGAAAGTGACAAACACCTGGAGATTTGCACCGTCAGTAACAGGCTCAAGTGAACCAAGATCTAGAAGCCAGTTGATGAATAATCTGAAAAGTGGTCTTGGATTAAAAGATGCCTTCTTCTCCTCTGCATCTTTTATAATGAATCTGACAGCAACTGCCAGAATCTATCATAAAGCAATGGGAAGTATTAGACTAAAATTATACATTTAATAAAGCCCTTGAGATAGAAAGACTGCTTTCAAATTTTCGTTTATTACACACCTTGGATAAAAGAAAGGGTTTGTTTGATCCCTGTTCCAACAACCAACAGAACAGCTTAGATGCTAAATACTCAAAAATGAAACGAGAAAAGAAAAAGATAGACAGTTAACAACCTTCAAGATTGAGAAGACAAGCTTTGCGTAAATATCAATTGCAAGAAATGACATTGTCTGCAGCTGTTGGGATTGTAGTGACCCTGAATTAATCATCTCAGTGGATAAGCAATGCGCAACAGCAAGCTCCTGGAAAAAAGCACAAGGAAAGAGGTTACACTGACAATCCTGGTCATCAGTAGAAAAGAATAACCAGCATGATGAAAGAAAAGCCACACCAATAACAGCCGGAAAAAGCGGTCTGTAAGATCATCACCCTTCAGCAGCCCATTCTGATGCAATTGCAAGATGAAGTGGGTAGAAGCTGTATCATTGGCACCAGGAAGCTCACATATTCTATACCATTCTTTGAACAAAATGGAAACCTACAATTTGGGCATAAAATAAGTCAGTATTAGCAGTTCAAAGTTTGTCTCTGGCCCAACACATACATAATTAAGGAAAGATTTTATGCCAATAACCCTTTACTAAAACAAAGGAAAAATGAAAGGTAAGAAACAAAGGAAAAAAAACTAATCAGTTTATGAAACTACATGCAACTCAGCATGCCGCACAATATTTGCTCTTACAAAATCAGAATAACCATATCTTGCAAAATATATTTTCTCCTTTCTTTTATGAAATGCAATAGTATCAGATTTAAGGGTTTCCAATTGGCTCTACATGACATTTCCTAAGCCTAAAAGGAGCCACTGAATTTTCCATTTATTTTTGCATAATTTTACAAGGGTGTGTTTTGAAAGACTTACTTTACAGTTTATGTGGACTTGAAATATAACATAACTTATGATATGTCTCTAAGTTTATTTCATTAATCGAATTAGCTCTCCAAAATAACATATGAAAACAGGTCAATTTTATTTTCCACTCAAATATAAAAATGACTTACACATAGGCACTTTATTAAGCTGACTATCCAAAATGTAAAAAAAAAAAATATAGAACTCTCATATTGTGCTCACCCTTTTATTCCCAAAGCTTATAGATCTTACAAAGGCAAAAAAAAAAACAATCATAATTTTGAGTGCAATTCTAAGGTGTAGCTAACACATACATGAATTAATCAATAAAACATTACAATAAGCAGGCATCAAAAGCATAACTTAATCAAATTGTGGAGCAGTTATGGTCAGTATCTAGCACAATTTGTACCATAGCCAAGCAACCAATATTCAAACTTATCTATCAATTTCAAGGTGATACCTGCTCCCGGAACCCAGCAGGATCTGGTTCAATAGAATCCACGCTGTTGAACTCTTCCCTGTTTGCAGGTAGCAGACCAGGAACCTGTTTTTTACATGGTTAAAGAAAAATCCAGATTTCAGGAAAACCAAAAGCAACAACAGATAATAAACCAGAAGAGAAGACAAAAAGTGCATGAACAATAGTGGCAGCTGAACCACATTGCTCTTGTGACCTTAATGTCTCTTGACTGTCTTGCCTTATCCTCCTTTCCAGCATTGCTAGATGATAAAGCACCAGGATTCTTGATCATTTCAAGAAGCTGTGGTAATGGCTCAGGGCATCCAGGCTTTGTAGCAAGCTGAAAAATAAAATATTGTTAGGAATAGAGGGTACAGTAAGGAATGTAGAGATTCGTGTACAAATACAAACCTTAGCCAAAGCATCAACAAGATTGTGAAGTTCTGAAATAACTTTAGGTTCCTCGATAACCAGGGTTTGAAGAAGGGAAATGGAAAATTCCTTTGCAGCCTCTGCACATTCATCCAGTAAGTAGCTTCATAATAGTAGCACAGAAGAAAGTAAAGCAATTAAAAAGCAATTTCTTTGGACATACTGTTCCTTCCTCCATCAATAAGTTTTGCCATATGAACATTGTACTCGGTAAGATTTAGCAATTCACTACGAATGAGCCCAATAGTAATTTCTTTGTTATATTTCCTTTCTTCTTCTGAGTAAATTACCTACAAGAAGTACAGAATGGACAGTTTAAAACAAATTAAAGAGCAAGTGTAACTGTTTGAATATTAGTTGTCATTTAATATAATCACTTAAATCATTGAATTCTATGGATTTCGGAATAAAATATAAATATACTTCATTAGTAATTATAACTAACTAGCTTCACTACTTTAATTGGTCTTGATAAATTAATTATTTGTTCTTTTATAGGAGACAGGAGGGAGTGTTGGTAATAATCATTTACTGTTTCTCATCTTCAAATGAATTTTTCTTTATCAACAAACAACAGAAGTTACCTACTCTGTCAAATTTAAAAAAAGAGAACACCAATATTTATCACAATATGCAATTTTATCAAGTATACAGAACATTACAAAATGTAAGTTAAGAATCGTCAAAAATTAAATTATAACAATGTATAGAACATTCAACTCATGGCAACTTTTGTGAGTTCAACAAAACATACCCAACTAGTAAGCTCCTTCACAGCAAGTTTGCAAACATCCCGAATGGCAGTCAGGATTGCAAGATGAGCAGAGACATGGATGTTGTTTGATGCATTATCATATAAACCCTTGAATACCTGTTTTAAAAACAAAAAATTGTCAATCCCATCAACCCAAAGTGGAGGTATCAGACATGACACAGAAGTAATCAATTCATGATACCACATAGCATTAGACATTCAGTAAAATTCATGAACCATGAAATTCTCAGTAGGGGGAAGCACACCTTTTGAGCCACAGCTAAAGCTGCCTCATCTCGACTAACACATCTAAGTATGATCTCAGGAACCTCAGAGATGACACCCTAAGACAGATATTAAAACATGTGAAAAAAAAATTATCAAGGTAAAAAAAAACACCAGTAATAGTAATTCATCTTAGGCATAACAGTACAGACTGTATAACTTGAATATGAACCACAGTAAAATACCTGGATTTCTACATCCCTGGAATCAGTGCTGACCATAGCTTCCAACTGAAACCAATGACATAAAGGCAGTCAATAAACATCTGAAACAAATATTGCATCAAATAATTAATTAATTTAACCAACAACCCATCACTCAATTGATGGTCCTGCTTCAAAAATTATTTTTCCACACTACGGTATGAAAATTTGTAGCTTTATCAGAGATGAATGAAAATAAAACCAAAAAATGAAAGAATAACATAAGCAGATTCCATTGATGCATAGGTATCATTTTTAAAAGTATACCATGCAGCAAAACCTATTCCTTTCTAAACACATGCTATATCCTTACCAGCCATAAGTTAAATTTACAATATCAACTATCCTAAAAGCTTAACCTAACAAGACAAACCTCAAGGGCATATAAGCAAACAGGCCACCTTAATTTCCACCGTCCGTTACATTTGCATTTAATCATAAAAAGACAACAGAATATGAAAGAAATGATTTGAAGACATTGCCAAAATGATCTATAAATTGCATCAATTCACCAATAACTTAAAAAACCTAGTTACCTAGGACCAGTCTTCCATCACAACAGCAACATACACACAGAATATGTTAAGAAACTTCTCTAATTGGCATGCTTAGGAAAAGAGCATGATGTATATGACAAGTGGTCAAACTTCATAATCATTAAATAACAAAAGCCTGGTAGAAATGAATGAAACACACTCCATGAAACATAACAATATTCTCACTCATTTTTACAGTTATACGCAAATGAAATATATTGGCTATATTAACCTTTCTATAATGGGATACACATAGAATCTAATATCACAATAATCTATAAAGATTAATAACAACCTTCTGTGCGACAATTTGGTATTTATCTAGGGCGTCTCTTGTAGTTAGAGAAGGCTCTAAGAAACTACTTCCAAGGCGCTCCATAGCACCTGATGTAACTAGTGACTGTGAAGTTCCGGATTCCTGGCCATAAATTTCAAAAACATTTAGACTCTAATCATGACATGTTAGAAGAAACAATGATTTTTATTTAAAAATCTCACTTTCACATCAGACGAATCCACTGCATGCAATTCAGGGGTGGAAGCTGCTGAAGGAAATGAAGCAACAGACTCTTTCTCCAAACTATGCTGTGAAACACTATCAGATGCTCTAATGTGAATTGAGGAAGCACTGAAACATTAAATGCAGATTCTGAATATATTTGGATTTATAGATAATAAAGATGGAAAACCAACCATAAAAAATAAAAAGAGGGGACCTAAAATGTGGAGCCAAATTAGACTCTGTTATATCTTCTAATGGTCGAGATACTCCTTCATATCCTGTGCTCACGGGGTACCCAGGGTTAACCTGACCAGATACAGAACCATTGGTGCTAGGAAGACCAGTATTGCCAGATTGAGCAGCGACACCAGCAGACATAGAATGTGAGCTCTGGCTAGACTGGTTTTGCCAAGGAAGCCGAACAAAGTCCTAATATAAATGAACATAAATTAAACTCCATGGTGTAAATCTCCACAAATCCCAGCACACATTGAATAAAGCCAAATGCATACCTCATAGACACGCTGTTGTGACAGTGACAACTGGCCAGGCTTGGGGCGAAGAGGCTCTGGAACACCACCCATTGAACCTTGTGGATACAAATTTGCATCAAAAAATGTAGAACCCATACCCTCTCTATGCTTCCTTCTCAAAGAGAGTTGTTGACCAATCTCTGTGTCAATAGTGCTTATAGCCTATAAGATAGCATCACAGACAACAAACCAGTTAAATTCGATTTCTGTGTAAATGCAAAGTCAGAGGAGAAAGGGCAGTTGTAGCCACCAGTATTAAACAATATTTTACTGATTTAAAAAATCATTGATAAAAACTAAGGT